TGCTGCGCTGCCCTGGCAGCACCGAGTGCCTCTGGTTGTGGAACACAGCACCTGCTGCCTGTTTGGAGAACACTTACCTCACCTTTAAGGGACAGAAACACAGCAAGCACTCAGGCACCAATTACACAAAGGGCTTGGCGCACTTTGCAGCAATATACAATGCCAAAGACATCACATCTTGCTAAAATATTTGCTTGAGATTTCTCTTCTGGTGGAATCACACCCTTACAAGTAGGGAGGTGAAACAATGGTAAGCCAATTTCTGCACCCCCTTCCAAAGAAGAGCCCCACATATTTGCAGACAAGTATTCACATGTCCCCTGGATATTCTCAGCCCCCAAAGATTCCAGCCTGACTTGCCTGGCTTGCTCTGGACCACTTGGCATGTGATAGCAGCCGCGTACATTTGGCAGAGACATTTTTAGAAACTTCCAAGCTATGAATTCACCCTTCCATTTTGGTAAAGCCAGTTATGCAGAAAGCATTTCAAAAGCAGAACTTCAAATACAGACTTAATTTCCCCCCAGTTCTTAGAAGGGGAAAAAGATAAATACTATTACACTCTTCATCTATTTTACCACAGAGAATTACCCTGCAATATTTCTGTATTTGCTGATAATATAACCAATAACAAAATAATTATAAGTCAAATCAAATAAGTTTTTTCAGCACAGTTATGTCATATGTTAAAACTATTTCCAATTCTTTACCCCAGGTCCATGTTTTATTGCAATCACTAAAAGGTGACTTTAATTGATTGAAAACACACATCTAACTAACTAAATGCTTAGGGAGTGACCTTCATGCCACACACTTCAGGGAGATGCCCATGAAGCCAGCTACAGCAGCACAGATACCCAGCAGGCGCTTGCTCCTGCCCACAGGCTTTCCACTGTGGCTACGCAGGAACAGAGACCAGGATCACATCTGCATCCACAGCCTGCTAACCACACGCTGGCAACACAGCTAAATATCGACAGCACTGTCTGGCTCCTGACACACCAAGGGTCAACTTCCAGGCATTTTCCCCTTTTCCACAGGCATTCAGAAAAAGCAAACTGATTTAGGAGGTTGGACTCCATAGGCAGGACTTGACATGGACTCCCACAAACCAGCAAGATCTAAACCTCTAAATCCACTGAGGCATCACACCAGCCCCATCTTCATCCCTAAATGGCTCCAGCTGCACCACAAAACACACACAGTCCTTTAAACATCTTCAGCCCCCTTTGCCAGGAGGGCACAGGTAGTTAATCTGTGATGAGCACTCAGCTGATGAGCAGGAGCTCATTAACCCACAGCTGCTTGATTGCTACCAGCTGTGCATCTAAGCCCCTGAACTCCAGGGCAAGGAGATTTCAGGCCCTTTTTAAGCTCATAGTAATTCCTTGCTCCTTGTTTTAAAGGAGTGTTATTCTTTGAATGAAAATGATTTTCACTGCAACCGATTTGTGACAGTGAATCCCACCATCAGCTTGCAGCAACCATATCTGATACCTGCCTGAGGGGAACGGTCCAGGTGGCAACAGGAGCACTCCTGTTTGCTTTCACTTGTGTGTGAACCCTCCAGCACAGCCCCGAACACTTCTCCAAAGCCCTCTTTCTTACTCTAAAGATCCCCAAAGACCTCCTGCTTCTGGAGTCCTGGAGCTCCTGGTCTTTAGAGGGTTCCAACCCTTGGCTCCAAGTCACACCAGAGGCCATCCTCCTCTCACCATCCCTTTGGGTCTGCTGCACTTGTCAGGGCAAACTTGAAGGGTGAAGCACCTAAGAAAACACTACTCCCTTTCAAATAAATTGGTGTGGTGCCAGTTTTCACCCTTCACAACACAACTTCAGGCATACAGCCAAAGCAAGACCTTGAGATGCACCATCCTGTATGATTGAGACCCCATATTCACAGGTGGCCAAGGACATCAGTGGGCTGCCCAAAAAGCACAAGATGGAAATATAAATCCCCCAGTAGATATAGAACTGCACAGGCCCAACTTTCTACACTCCCTGGATAAACATGGCAAGTATCAGACAACAAAAAGCCAAGCACAACCACCTCCTCTTCCCATACTACTGCTCCTGCTCACTTATTCAAAAGATCAGATATAGAGACCTACCTTCAAGCCAGGAACAAGGTCTGTAGGTAAGGAGCAATCCAGACACCATGCTGCAGCTAAGAGGGATGAGGTTTGAGTGCACTCACTCAGCCAGCCCCAGCTGCAGGCCATATGGGCTGATTGAGACATCCCACCATGCCTGGGAGGGATCTGAGGCACCTACCACCAGTTCTGGCTCTGCTTCAGCACCCAACCACCAAGCCAGGGGTGGTTGGCCGCACATGTGAGAGATGGTGCTTCACCAGATCACCCTTTTTACCCCAAAGAGGAAATAATCAGCTGCCTCCACTGACTCTTTCTTTTCAGGTCTGTGGCCCAGCAGGAGCCTGGATGGTTCCTGGCTGCCTATGGAAGGAAACGGTTCAAGTACCAAGTGCTGCAGATTGACCGGTTGCATCCCAGGGAGGATCGCTACTCTTCCCCTCTCCTGAAAAGTCCAGTTGTCCTTGATCTTTTTTCACTTATTTCCTGTGTCTCTAAGGACTGTAAATTGACAGTCAGTTTATACAGAGCAGGTAGGTATGTTTACAAAAGGACTAGATTTTTTTTTAATGAAATCCAGATGCAACAGAAAGCAAATGTCATTAGGAAGGTCCTTAAAAGTTATTTTTTGCCCTCAGTATTCCAGCAGCTCAAGGTCTGAAAGCTAAAATTTCAGTAACAAGATGAGAACAGAGCAAAAACCAAGACATTCCGCAACAGACCTTTTATTTCCCCCCAAACTGCTACATTACAATCCCCATCCAAAAAGATCGACCCTTTAAAACAAACTTTACTGAAGTTCTCAACACAGTGAGAAAGCTGCTGCTTTTTTTCAGGTTGATCTACGTTCTGACAGGAGCACGCTGCAAAGATAAATCCAGCAGAACTTCCTGCACACAGTCAGGCTGCATCACTGCGGACAGCAGAGCTCTCTCCTCTGCTTAGTGTCCCAGCATCTCAGAGATCAGCAACAACGTGTTTTTATATTGCATGCACGTGAGGGAGGAAATACTGAGGCCGCTAATGTTTGACCACCTGCAGGTACCGTGTTTCAGAAAGGAAAGACAAGTCTGTTTTCAAGCTGTCTGAAAAAACCAAAGCCACACCGCTACAGCTGGCCTGGGAGCAGTAAGTGGTCCATAAAAAGAGAATCTTATTGACTGTTCTGAAGTCGCATAAAACAGCACTGCACGGCTGATTTGGAAAACAGGAACTGCTGCACAGCAATTCATTTGAAATGTATTTATCATCTAAATAACCTTAATGTCTTAAATATTATTTTTATTTAAAGCCAAATTTGCCAAGACTGTGGGACAGGTGGATACTTTTATCACCCTTTGTATGTTTGTACAGATCTGCACAGGGACGAGAGGGCTCCAGAGAGGGCAGGAGCCTGACACTAGAGACGATACGTGTGAAATGTAACAGCCAGCATCACTGAGCTGGATGAAACTTGCTCCATTGTGGCCCCAACTTGCCGACTACACAACGCTCTCCTTGGTTAGCAGTCTGCTCATCAGAAGACTTCTGCCAAAGCACGGCTTTTGTTATCATTAAAAAGCACACCTGTTGATTTTGTGCAACATTATCTTTTTTAAGCCGAATAATTTATCTTATTCAAAATCAGAACATGCACATTGTCAATTTATTTCAAACTCTGTGTAACTCTGTATCTCATGAAAGGCTATTACAAAGGCTGCATACGATGAATATACCATCTGGAAAAAGCCACATCCATTCTGTCTTGTCTGTGTATAACAGGACTTCCAGGGAGAGAAAACACTCCAGACTCCCATGCAGGAGTGCCCTCTGCGGGATGTACCAGTCCTGCTGCAGAGGTTTCCAAATCCCCCCCTTACTACCCCAGGAAGAAAGGATCAGGTATCAACTCTTCAGGCAGCGCCCTCAATTCTAAACTTGATTACAAGTGCCAACTTTTCTTATTTATGCATGTAGCCATGCAATCACCACTTCAGCTGTCCCATACTCTGGTTTTGATTACTACAACCTACCGCCACTTCTGTGTCTAACCAAGCTTGCAGCAGCTGCCAGCAAAAGGGTAAATCGTGGCCACTGATAATATTTAGTAAATGAGTATTACAATGACAAGATAATCAACTGGTGACCTCTTCTCTCTAAACTTACTACTGAGAACTAACTACAAAGGAAACCTAGCCTCAAATTTCACATAAACTTTCATACTGCAATTTGCTTGACATCATATTTCTTACAATAGATGTAGCACTGCCTTTTAAAAAAAGTTTACTTCTAACTACTAAATGAAGGCAGTATTTAACCATTCTGTGAGAATTTCCTGAACAGAATCTCAACTTTACCAGTCAGCTCTGAAGAAGCAATCAAACAATTTCCAGAGGGGAAGGCAACATCAGTTTTAAGAACATTGAGGCGCAGCTATTGATACTTCAAGGTACTACATGGAGTGTGGCAGGTTGGTATTTATGTTACTAAACCAAATCAACTCCCATTACTAAAGCACAAGAGATAGGGAAGGTAATAATTGTAAAAGATTTTACTAACTGAAAAAAGATCAACCGTATGAGCAAGAAAAAGCTTCAAATGTAAAACTTGGCACTATTTTGCAAATATAAAGTGGAATTTTATAAAGAAAAGGAGCAAAAAGGCTTTTGATTTCAACAGATTTGCAACGTAATTCTCCATTATAGTGCATGAATTAATAGTACCAAATGGGGCTCCCATTTTCACTGTGCTTAGAACCCTCCCAAGGCCAGAGGAACAAAGCCAGGCTGCACGGGTGCTAGGCTCTCAGAAAAAACAATCCAGAGACAACCACTGTTGTTAAGCATTAAGTAGAATTTTCACACTAGAAGTTATTCAGGTTCTTTCAATCCATTAGACTTTGTTTTTCAACAAAACTCAAGTTTACACGGATACAATAAATAGTTTATTAACGGAATGTATGTGAGTTTCTCTCTTCCATCTTTCCTCTTACTCTCAGCACCTTACACACAGATGTCAAAGCAGCTTCCAGTCCAAGCCAAGGACAAAAGTTAATTTCAAGGCAAAATGAAGAGAGGTTGAAAGTTAAGACTGGCACCTTTGAGTGCCTAGTTCCATAAGTGTTTGTGTGGTTCCCCAAACCTACAGGCAAACTGGTGTTTCTTCTTTCCACACCTTGATCTACCTGCCTCTTCCCAACTTGTGCTCATTTCAGTTCTTCTTAGGCAGGTGGCATGCTCCATGGGGACAGTATAAAGTCATACCTGCTCCAATGCTCTCTCAGCTATTGCAATATTCCTTTATTATTTTCTGTAAAAACCCTACCGTTATTATGCCATCTCTTTCTGATCTTTTGTAATAGTTCAGTTTAGCTTTGGTATTTTACAAAAATGGGAAGAGTCTTTTTTTCAAAATGTAGAGCACCGTGGCCAGGAACAAGGCAAGGGCGAGAAAGATGAGCAGCTTGTCCGTCAGTTCCCTGCGATTGTACTTTGTTATTAGCTTTCGCCCCAGCTGAATTGTCCCAGACATGGACTTAAATTCTTCATTTGCTTCCAGGATGGTTCGTGAAGAATTGGCTGAAATTAAAGGGGGGAAAAAAAAAAATCAGCTGGTTGGACTTCAAAAATATATGACAAAGGATATAAGCATGCAATATTTGGCAATACAGATAGTGCCTGTGAGATCCTTCTGGGTCAGACTGACTTATGGGTAAGAAAAATGCAGTCTGTGTTCTTACAGAAGCTTTCACAGCGCAGTAGTCCTGATGTGCTAAGGAATAATGCAAAGCAAAATAAGAGTACTGAATGGCTTAAAGGCCCTATGTCCTGCTCCTGAACTTCAAATTTTTACATTACTAGATCAAATCTAGTTCACATTTTTAATTAACAAAGACAGTGCTACCTGAGAGCTCGCTGGAAGCACAGCGAAATAAGAACGGTGCTAGAACCACCAATTTAAGAGAAAGAAATCACCATCACTATCCACATCAGTTCTAGCAGCAGCAAGACTGGTCAATATTTGAATATATTAATTGAACAACTGAAACTGTCCCCCACAAGCCAGAGCAGTAAATCAGTGTGATTCAGATGGGGTTGCAGAAAGTGAAAAAGCAGCAAGCAGCAGTAAGAGTTCCCTAATTATTCAGCCCAAATAATTTAAAAAGGTTTTGGTTGCCTTTTTTTTTTTACAAACATAATTTTGTTTTTTCCCCTAAGATAGAAAAAAAAAAATCAACTAGAGGAAAAGTGTGCTGATTGGTCTCAACTAAAGATAGAATTTGAGAATATGCCAAAACAGCAAGAT